ACCTTGCTGGGTACAGAAATCTTGGTTGTAGATTTTTACTTTTCATCACTTTGAATATTTCATGCCAATCCCTTCTGGCATGCAGTTTTTTTTATTGAGAAATCAGCTGAGTCTTATCAGCTCCCTGTCTTATCAGCTCCCTTGTAGGTAACTAACTGCTTTTCTCTTGGCTGCTTTTAAGAATCTTTTTCTTTAGCCTTTGGCATTTTAATTATGATGTGTCTTGGTGTGGGCCTCTTTGAGTTCATCTTGTTTCTGAGCTTCCTGGGCTTGTCTGTCTATTTCTTTCAATAGATTAGAGAAGTTTTCAATTATTATTTCCTCAAATAGGTTTTCAATTCCTTGCTCTCTTCTCCTTCTGGTACCCTATGATACGAATGTGGGTATGCCTGATGTTGTCCCAGAGGTTCCTTAAACTACCCTAATTTTTTAAAATTGTTTTCTTTTTCTGTTCCAATCGGGTGTTTTACATTACCTCTTCTTCCAAATTGCTGACTTGCTCCTCTGCTTCATCTAATCTGCTGTTGATTTCATCTATTGTATTCTTCATTTCAGTTATTGTATTCATTTCTGAATGGTTCTTTTTTATGGTTTATATCTCTTTGTGTAAGTTCTCACAGAGTTTATCTATTCTACCCCTAAGTTTATTGAGCATTCTTATAACCAGTTTTGAACTCTGTATCTGGTAGATTGCTTGTCTCCATTTAATTCTTCTTCTGGACTTTTGTTTTGTTCTTTCATTTGGGACATGTTTGTCTCCTCATTTTGGCTGCCTCCTTGCGTTTGTTTCTATGTCTTAGGTAGATCTGTTACATCAAGCGGTCTTGACCTGGTGGCTTTATGTAGAAAGTGTCCTGTTGGGCCCAGTGGTGCAGTCTCCCTGGCCACCTGAAGCAGGTACTCCAGGGAAATCTTTTGTGTGGTTGTGTGTGCTCTCCTGTTGTAGGTGAGCCTTAATTGCTATAGGCATGTCAGTGGGTGGGACTGATCCTCAGGCTGACTGGTTGTGAGGACTGGCTGTGATGACATCGTATAAGCTGTTGTTCGGAGGCTGACCCCACAGAGTGTGGTTCGCTCTGGCAGGAATTTGGTGCCTGCCAAGTCCACCCTTTCGGTGTGTCATTTGTGGACGCAACAGGGTGGTGCTCTGGCTGGCCACTGGGTGTGCTAGTTTGGGGGCCTCTTGGGAGGGGCTCTAGTGCAGGCCCAGGTCAGCTGCTACCTGTGCCTGGCCAAAAGCCACCTGGTAGAAGCTATAAAGTGATCTGCAGTTCATAGTGGCATGTGTTTGGCTTGAATTAGCCTAAGATAGGCTAAGCTGCAAATGGAGGCTGGATACAAGTAATGCTGGACTTAGGCCACTTAGTAATAGGTATGGGGCACTGAGGCAAAATGCTGCTTATTTGGGGTTTGTGGACCTTTGAGAAATTTTAGTAAAGTCTACAGTGTGGGCTGAGGACCACTGATTGAGTGCAGTAGCTGCTGAAGGAGGTTCAGGGTCAGTTCTGGAGTTGAGTAGGGTGGGGTCATAGGGAATTACCAGGGCAGGGAAAATGGTGTTAGCCAGTTTAATGGAGACTGAGACTTGTTGCCCACCTGTGCCTGCCAGCTGAGTGCAAGGGAATGGGGGGATGGGGTTTAACAAAGGAAAAATGGCTCCTACCGGCATTTCTACCTGCACCTGCCAGGTGAGTGGAAGAAGGCTCAACAGGTACACTCCCACAATCCAGCAGCTATGAAAATGCAGCTCGTGTCATCAGCACCATCAGGGATGGCATGGAAAGCTCTGGTCGATGTGGATCAGTGACACTAGCTGGAGGTCAGCTAAGATGCTTCCACTGGACCCAAGGTCTGTCACCGGGAGAAGCAAAGTGCCAGGGAGCCAGGGAAGCATTGTGATGTTTCAGCTGGGCCTGGAAGAATGACTTCAAGCTTAGCAAGCAAAGATGGAGTAGAAAAGGAAAACCAGACAGAGGGAAAAAATTTGCAAAGATATAGCAGCATTTAAAGACCTCGGACAGGCACAAACTAGAAGTAGATCCTGCACTATACACTATCTGTGGGGTTGAGACTATGATTCCTCAGAGTCCCAGTTATTGTTAATGGTGAGGAAGCGAGGCTCTAAAACGGGCATCACAGCAAAGTTCAAATCATTTTCTCTAATCTCATTCATGGTTATTATTAATAGGCCTTTGCTCTCAAGTCCCCCCAAATGGCCCTCCCCGACTCCAACCCATCCCAAAGACAGTTTAAAGACTGTCACTGGGCAGGAGGAGGCAGGAAGCTATTAGGAGACTGAGACATGTGCAGGCTGCTTGAAGACTGCAGGACATTTTTAGGACAGAACCACAGACAGTAGTGATTGATTAGACAGAAGCAGGAATTAGCCCAAACTACCAACAGCTTTTCCACCACTCTCTCACTTACCCCACCCCCACCCACCAGCAAGAGAGGCCCCACCCCACAGGCAACAGAGCAAATCTAAATGTGATGACATGACTATTCTTCAGTGACTCCCACTACTCTACAAGCAACCGTCCCTCCTCAGCCAGCCCAGGTCCCGCCAACTTTTGAAACTATTTCCCTCCCACACAGCTTCCTCCACAACCCTGGGCACACATCCCGGCTCCCCGAATATCCTGCTCTTTCATCCTGCTAAACCTTCAACCAGTGGAAGACACCCTCATCTGGTTGACGGGGAGGGTGACCCTTCAACCAGCTTCTCAACTGAACCTTCCCATCCTCACACCGCGAAGCAGAGCTGAGGCTTTCTGGGGTGGAGGCAAGGTACTATTTCCTCATTTGAGTGTGACTGTAGATATATGCTTTGTGATTAATCACTGAGACGAATATTTCTACTCTGGGCATCTGACTGTATAGGTGGCACATTTAAATAGAAAGACAAAAGAAAAAATATGTTCAATCAGCCCCCAAGGAAAAGAGAAGAAACCTATGTCATAATCAGTTGTACACAACTGTTCTGAATGTAATTATTTCCCTAGAAAATTAATGTCACTCACACTGGTTATGCTTCTTGGCTCAGGTATACTGTGGAACACGAAAGCCAGACTTCTCTGTGGGAGAAACTGCATGCAGACCACTTAGGAATAAAATCTGCCTTTCTTAGTATGCGATGCTGACATTATCAGAAATCAGAACCAACGTACAAACTACCCTAGCCAGGCAGATGTGAAACATTAAGACACATCACAGGGTGAAACTGGGCCTTCGCTCAGGGGCAACCAGGGAGAGGGCGGTCCAGGATCAGCCAGCAGAAGGGAGGAAGGAGACTTCCTAAGAGGAAATACACCTGCTGCTGCGTCATAATGTTTTTAATTAGGGTAAACTGCGGATCTAGGAGTCTTCCTCTCAAGAGGCTGCTTGCCTATTTTCTTGAGCTCATAAAATTTCCTTCTGCAATTAATTTTTCACCAGTGAGATAATGGTTAATTCACTTCTTTCTGTCATTCCTTCAGGCATTTTAATATATAGATAATATAGCCCAACATCATTTACACAATAATTGATTTCATTTATAACACACTGTTAACATATAGACTCACTTTATATTATCAAATGGGGCTAGGAACAGCTGTCTCATTCCCCAGAGAAATTTTTTTAAAATTTAGCATTTGTATAATCAGAAAGGAATAAGACAGCTGGTACCCTAGCCTTTGACTAGCAAACAGTAGGTTGGTATCTTCCCAAAGTTCAGCAAAACTCCTACAAATCTTTAGACTGCAAGTCCTAAGCAGTCCATTGCATTGCAGCACCATGTCATCTAGCACATAAATAGGTATTCACAAAACACTGGCTAATGTTGAATGTTGAACTTTAAAAAGCTAGGGGGACTAAGAAAATGAGCAAGTCATACAGCAACCCTAACATCATAGCACATGAGGTTGAAAAATCTCCCATTCCACACTCATCTTACTGGATCTGGCAGGGGCGACAGCTCAGCTCAGGAGAAAGGAGAAAAGAGTAGGACCTAGTGAGCCTACCTCTTCTTTCTCCTATTCATTACTCACAAATCCTGAGACAAGTCAACTTTGTATCCTTTGAGCTATCCTCTAATATATTGCTCACCTGAAAGGCTACTCTGTGAATTAAGTGAGATAAATACTTAAAATATACTTAGTAGATAACTAATTAAATGAAAGTAATAACAAGGAAGTGAAGCAGCCCCTTCTCTCATTCTTTAATGAGAATCACACATCTGTCATCTACTCGTGGAAGCATGATGCTGAGCAGGTTACTGTACCTCGGTTTTCTCATCTGTTAGGTGAGAGTAAAAATAAAACCTACATTGTGGTTTTCATACATCTTTAAGGAAAAAATCTTATTTATTAAAACAGCACGCAATAAATGTAGCTATCACCATCTTTTTAGGAAAAAAATCCCAAATTTTTGTTACCAGTCAGTGCATTACATATAAAATTGTTCCACACTCTTTTGTTACCATTAAAAAAGTTTTTAAAAAAATCATTATGCCTAGTTCACAAGCTATCACTTCAGATTCTAATTTGTACCATATAATGAAGGACATTTTATATGTTAAACAGATCTTGTCAAGAACAAAGTGGCACCGTGTTATTTTCTAAGCACCAGCAGAGTGCATGGGGAACGGCTGAGGTGGCAATGCACTCCTTAGAGCTATGACGGTTCTTCCCCACCTGTTCAAGCCTTAGAAAAATCTGCCGTTACTGGACCGAAGAAAATAAGAACTTGATGTGAAAAAAGTATACACCATGCCCCAGTTGAGAAAGAAAAATGACTAGAACCCACAAGCCTCAGGACACAGAGCACACAGAATGCTTCACCTCCTTTCTTGGGACACCTTTCCATGAAGAGGGAACAAGGAGTAAAAATGAGCCTAAATCATAAGTCTATATATTTGAGGAGTGTGTGTGTGGTGGGGGTGGGCGGGGAGAGGAGAGAGGAGAGAGGGGAGAGGGAGTGTGTGCACATGTGTGGGAAGGAGGAACCTCATCAGTACTTACCTTGGTGGGGATTCGTGCTGTGAGAAGGAAGGCTCGGCATGATGTGAGCACCTGCAAGACAGAAGCAGCAGCATAAGTATCACAAAGTGAGCCTGATGGGCTCTGGTGTTACCATGGGATTTGAATGAGGGATGCTGGGCATAAGAAACAGGACTAGTCCCTACTGGTCTGCCTGTCTGTCTGTTGTCTCTGTCTCTCTACATGTCTCTATCTACCTGATTCTATGTGTGTATCTCCTAGTCTATCTGTGTCTCTTCTGGCCCTCTCCCCGACCCTTCCCTCAATCCCTTCTCTCTGCTGTCGCTGCCACCATCCCCACCATGCCCTACGCCATCTCGTTCTTGTCCGTCCTCTGGCACTCCCTCTCTCTGCCCTCCTTCACTCTGCCCTCTATTTCCTAGCACTTTCTCTATGCTAATCACTTGAGACCTTGTATGTCATTTATGCCTACTGCAAAATAGCAGACACCAATCACAGAAGAAATACCGCACTCTGGAATGGTATTTTCATTTGCTGCAGAGAAACTTGAACAAAACATAAAAAAAAAATGACATGACACCTTTGGACTTATACAGTAAGCATACTGGTAATTAAGTGATTACAAGGTCCCCTGCGTAATCTAACTAATAAGTCTTAAAAACTAATCTCAAAACAGGCACCCGAACAACTGGCATGCAGTGGCAATCACTAGCGCGGGCATGGGCTGGCCTCCTGCTCCCTTACAAGTGTGGCTTTGGAGAAGAACGCCTCCCACAAGCAGCGAGGCATCAAATGACCTACCCTCTCCTGAAAACTCACCACAGGGGACTTCTAAGGGCCACTGACTATTAAGTGGGTCAGCACATTTTTAAAAAGAGAGGGAAAAAACCCCAGAATGTTCATATGGATTCACCTTTTGAGTATAAAGTGCATTTTTTGACCATACGTAGATATGTGATATTGTAACAGTCATATCTGTTTTCACTCTGTGGCCTGTGTGCCAGCTCCCTTTCTGTAAAACTATTTTAAAGGCAGGGTAAGCTCACAGTGTTCTTCAGACATTGGACATGAGCCAAAATAATTTGCTTGAAAAGAGAAATATCCATAAGGGAGCCCAGGCTTTCAAGGAAGAATTTTGTGGGAGCTAGTCCTCATTTCTGGTGGTCAGCTAGGGTCCCCAGAGGCACAGGGCTGTTCTTAGAATGTTTGGAAGGGGATGGGGTGGAATGGGTGAAATCCTCCGAAGTGGACCCAGACTTTTCCGTGACCACACCCACGTGAGCACGACACGACAGCAGTATTTTGAAGCAAGAATGAAAAACTACAAATGCTACAGTTCCCAGAATTGTGTCTCTTTCTCTACCAACATAAACTGAGCTGACAGATGAAATGGGGCTACATTCATGCTGGGAATCCCAAAGAACTCTGTCTCCTAGCTTTCCTGTTTGGCTCCAGCCCTAGGATCACGGCCCTGGAGGTCTTATAGCACACTCAGAGCTTCTAGCAGGTGAGGGGAAAATCGCACAGGAAAAATCTCAATTCTTCCCATTTTTTCAACACATTCCAGTTTTAGCACTGAGAATCCTGCATCCTGGAAAGCAGGACTTTTGGTCACCCTATTTGCTTGTGTTTTATCAGGAAGACAGATTCAAATTCTGGCTCTACCACTTTCTAGCTATTTAACCCCAACAGTTAGTTAGTTACCTTCTCTGTGCTTCAGTGTGCTCACCTGTGAAACAAGAAGACTATCCCTCTGCAGGACTAAGACTGTCATTTTAAATAAGATACAAATAAAGTAAAGCTGTAGCTGGGCTCCCAGAAGGTCTTTGCCAAAATACCAGCTCTTATGTCACAGTAACTGATGTGACAGCATCTTAAATTTAGATTCCCAAAGTAAGATTAAGTAGTTAGACCTATTGGATTTTTAAATAATAGTTTGTCAACAAAACAAAACAAAACCCACAAAGATTCTGAGACATCTCCTAGGCTGAAAATTTCAGTTCAATATACATTTTTAACCTTGAAGGAGAAGAATGTTCTTGCAAAGTTAAAAATAATGGGGGGCATCAGAAGGTGTCTAAGTGTTCAGCCAAGGACCCTTAATCGCAAAGGACCAGCTATAACTCCCCTCCTCAGGGAGGGCCACTGTTCCACAAGGGTCTTAGCATGCAAACCACATTTTCAATCTCTGTAATGAATTTCCTCTCCCTTTCATTGAAATGCAAGCAGACAGCCTGGTTCCCTCTGAGGCTTCTTAGTTCAACTTTTAACTTTAAAATTTCACTTGGAAACATTTATAAAAAGCCTTTCTACTGCTAAGACTCAACTTAGCAGAGAAGTCTCAATTTTCTTACAGAGATGATACATAATGAAGTCAGCTATGGGACCTTCTCACTGTACTCATTAAAAACTGAAATAATACCTGTTTCACCCTCTTAAATGACTCCATTGCCTAAAGCCTCTCGCTGCACAAGCAATCCACAAATTCATGCCCCCCTAAATCCACATTCCTTCTTTCAGATTACCAAGAATGCCTTTCCTTTAAAATTGAGCTCTATACAGCAAACATTGAAAAATGATCTTATATCCCCAAAATGCTCTCTAACAAATAAACTAAATGACGAATGCTATTTTATACTTTTCCTCTCTTCCAAACTCCCAGTTTCCAAGTACTTCATGAACAAGACCTCATGAATCCAAGACATACCTTTTGGGGAGGGAGGGACAGGTGCGAGGACCATTAACCACTATTGTGAGAGTGTGACTGACAGGTGCCAAGGGACTTGTGCAAAGTCACCTAGAGATCTGAAAATCAAAAGTCTCTCTTGGCTCTGAGCCTCAGAACATCCCACTGTACACAGCTATGATGACCATCACCCTCTCTGGCCAAAGCAGAGGACACTTCACCCAAAAGGAATACATGACAATGCATCATTTTAGTGCAATTTCTGGCCGCAAATTCCTTATAAAACTGGATCCCCATACTTCTCGAGCATCTGTATCTTTCTTACTGTCATTAATAGGTGTGCCCTGACAAAGCATATAGCGTAGCACAGGATCTGCAAAGAACTACAGCCTGTGGGCCAAATCTGGCCTCCCTACCACCACCTATTTTTATAAATAAAATTTAATTGGGACACAGCCATACCCACTGTTTAATGTATCATGTCTAGTTGTTTTCGCACTATAAGGCAGAGTTGAATAGATGCAGCAGAGATTTTTATGGCTCCAAAGCCTAAAATATTTACTATCTGTCCTTTACAGAAAAAGCTGTCAACCCCTGACCTAGTGGTTTAGAGGACAAACCATGGGGTCAGGTTGCCTGGGTTGCAATCCAAGCTTCACTGCTTAGTATCTGTGTTACTTAAGGCAAACTCCTTATCGTTTTCTGGGGCTCAGTTTCCTATTCTGCAAAATGGAAGCAATAATCATACCTACACCTCACAAAACCATGAGTTTAAATGAGTTAATATATGTAAAGTGCTTAGAAGCATGCTGGCACATGAAAGTGTACATAGTGTTTGTTATTATTATTTATACTTCAATATTATAAGAAAATAATAAATGTCCATAATAATTTAAACTAAGAAGAGAGTCATCAGATTTAGCCTGAGTTTGGCCTCAAGCTCGTTGAAAACCTAACTCTAAACAAGTCACTATCTCTGAAGACCTAAATTTACCCCAACTTAAAATAAAAGGGCTGGAGCAAGTCTCTCAGTTGCCTTCCTGCACTCTGGGTCCATGACGCAGGCCACTGTGGGATCTCCCAGGACTCTGCTATGCTTTGGTCTGTGTGGTCTGCTGGGAATGGCCAGTCCCCAGTAAATATTTGCTAAGGACAGATGCTACCTCAACAGTGGGACAAAGAAGCCACTAAAGTTCGGTTTTCCCTTCAGATGTCTAGTTCCAGGGGAAGCCTTTGTATGCTAACATCTGTGCAAATCCTTTTCTTTTCACCTGGCTACTTATGCCACTGTACAGAAAAAGAATGTGTACATACAGCTCGTCAGACATAATCACTTAATTTTTTCTGCAGTCTCATTTTTGCAAGTTGTAAGACATTATCAAAGCATGAAAGAAAACAAACATAACTAATTTTACTCACAGATGAACATGTGGCGACTTCAAAACAATATTAATTTTTCTTAATGTCACTACCTATCAGACCTTTTCAAAAAACTCTGGAATCTGCTACACTGACTCTATTATAATGACATATTTTTAAAGGCAGAATGATGGCACAACCATAATCCCTAGAATGGTGACACCTCTTAGACAAAGAGTAAAGATGAGGCCAATACCTAGCTCCAGTCCCATAGGGTCCAGGAAGGTTTCACATCAAAGTGCTTGTGTGTGGCAGTTTCTGCCCAGACCTCTCAGCACTGGGTGAGCAGTGGTCAGGGTCTCACAGGTCTGCACATGGTAGGCTTGGGAAGGGACCTCTTCTAGTTACCACTATCGTATTTGTTTTAAGTGAATTCACCAACGATAGAGTCTCTGTCACGCAAGGAGTACAGAAAACATACGACATGATTATAAGGCCATATTAACCCAATTATCAAAGCTTCTCCTGCTTCCCCAGCACAGGACCAGCCAGTCTCTCTGGAACATGTCGTGAGAAAGTCACTAGAACCCAATTCTAGCTAAAAATCACACAGCTGAGATGGCTCTGGGGGTGGGTTTATCCAATTCCTTCATAGATGAGGAAGCAGTGCTGGCCAGTTTAAACAATTCATCTGCATCCACTGGGGCTCTTTGTTTTAAGAAAAAGAATTTTAAGCACAAATTTATTTAAAGGAAATGAGTAGTTATCGTAATCAAAAAAGAAAACAAACAACCAGAGCTCAAGAGGAACAAAAACCAAATCAACTCTACAGATTTGAGAAGCAAGAACGAGAGAGGAGTCCCTTCTGGCTGCTCATGTAGAGTGAATGGACTCCAGTCACTTTTCATCTACATTTGACTCCTCTCAAGATTCAAAAGCTAAGGCGAGAAGCCCCTGTCCTGGGCTTGGCGCCCAACAGAGACCAAACGATTACTTTAAAGGAAAGACAAGTGACAGTTATGGCTTAGTGACAAAGAGCGCTGGCTCCAGAGGCAGTAAGCCTGGGTATGAATCCCCACTAGACCAATGACTACTAGCTGTGAGACCTTGGGCAGGTCTCTCGCCTCTCCCTACTGCAGTCTCTTCATCTGGAAAAATATAGCCGCATTATCACCTACTGAGATAACATCATGGGGTATTCAGAACAAGACCTGGCACATAAACACATATCCTTAGGCAAAAACAATTATAATAGCTAACAACTGACATTTCACTTGTCTTTACTAGAATTCTAGGGCTGCGGTTGCTTCCCAACCCACACTGCTTCCACTTCTCAGCCATGTTTCTTTGCCTTGTCTCATCTTCTCAAGCCCAAGACACACAAATGTCACTTCCTTATTCTTCCCCTTCTGTTATATTAGCATTCTCATCCAATGAAAAAAGCACACATTTTCCTTCCTTCTCTTAGTGCAAATTTGTGAAATAGTCTTCCATTTTGCAGATGTGTGCATGGCACATGGTAGGAGATTGATTTAGATTTAATACTGTTACATAAGCAACCAGAGAGAGATTCTACATTAAGTTCAGAAATGAGAAGTAGAGAGAAAAGAAGATTTGGAGTGATTATATCAAGAAATCCAGGTATGTAGGCATTACTATAAAAGGAACCATTATAATTTTCCTCATACTTGATGCATAGGGATAAAACCAGAGACCTACAGAGATATGTGCAAACCTGCTAGTTAGAGACGGAGCCAAGCCAAGACAGCCAGTCTCCTGGGCTCAGCTCTGTTCACAGCTCACCATCTCTAGGATGTAGCTGCAGTCTGTGCACGGGAGGTTATTCCCGTGGTAACTACAGCCTACCTGAGAATTAGAAGAGAATTTCCATTTCTGTGTGGTAATATAGTGAAAGCTGGTATGAAGGAATAATAGGCTTTGGACTCAGACCAATTTGAACTCACTTGCCAAGTGCCCATTTGTCAATTATGTAACACCTCTGAATGTTATTTTCCTTATCTGTAAAATGTGTATGGGCATAACTTCCATAGGACAATTGTGAGGATGAAATTGGATAATGTGTAAAAACCCTAGCACTCTTAGACACTTTTAACTTTATTCAGAGATGATGCTAACTCCTGGCTCAAAATCTCTATACCCACTCCACTTCTGTAATCAGGGGTCAGTAGTGCATCCATTCACCTAAGGGCACTGGGCTCTGAGAATGTTCTGGAGTGGTACTGCCCTGGTTTCAACCCTGACTTCAGCACTCACAGCATGGGTGATCTGTGGCTCACTTTCCCCACCTATAAAATAAGGGATCATAATACAGACCTCACTGGGGGTTGACATGATAAGTAATCAACATGGACAAGGTAGTTAGGCTACTGTTGCTAAGAATAAGTGTTTCAGCATCATTTTCATGCATCCTGAGAGACTCAACGATCAGGTGGCCTTCTCATTCCCTGACCTTCTGGTCCACTCTGTCATACTACAGGCTGTCTTATCTATGGCTTAAAACTGTACCACCTCTATGATTTCTAGTTCAGACATCCCACTCCTTGAATTTCTACTTCTAACTTCTCCCCAGAGTGTGACTCATGTGCGAAAGGGGCTGGCACCCCATCAGAGTGTTAGAAATGCAGAATGTGTGGCCCTGGCCCAGACCTGCCCATCTGCATCTGCATCTTAATAAGATCCAGGTGACTCACATGCATGTTACAATTAGAGAAGCACTAGAATCTTGCTCCCCTTCTTGGCTGCCCCACCGGTCTGTTTCCAGCCCCCTGACCCTGCAGGGTCATTGACCATCCATCCAGTCTACCTCCTCCCTCTCCACCAGCCTTTACCAATCTTCACCCCATGGAAAACGTTCCTTCACTATTAATACCTCCAGCCTCTGTGCTCCTCATCCTGTCCTTATGCTCACAGAGGAAAAACCTCCACTCTCTCTGTGCTTGCAGTGCTGGCTGTCAAGAGATCTAACCAGCAAGCTGATTCTACTTCTCTTATCAGGGAAGATGACTGCCTTCTACTTCACCGAGAAAACAGAAATTATCAGCATGGTATCGCTGACCATCCCACCTGAAACCTCCACACCTGTCTGACCCTGAAGCTCTGTCCATTCTCTCCTCTTCTCTTTCTGACACTATAGAGGTAAATGCCATCCCTTCTCCTGGCTCTGGATTACATCCCACCCACCTCTGCAGGAAACTTAAGTGACTGGGTATTCCCTTCAATATCTAAATATCCAAATATGAAGACATCACGATCTAGAGCTCTGCCCTGGACTTTACACACCTCTGGCTCCAGCCCCCTTCCTCCTTTCTCTTAACTCAACTTCTTTAAAAAGGATCTACACTTATCTACATTTTCCTGCCTCAAATTCACTCCTCTTGTTCAAAACTGGCTTCTGTTCCCACCACCCCACCGAAATGGCTTCTGCTGAGGTCTCAGTCACCTCTTTGCTGCTTAACCCAACGCTTAATTTCAGCATTTCCTAACTAGGTCTCTCCTTGGCACTGGCAGAGCCCTTCATGCTTGGAATTCTTTTTCCTACAGGTTTCCACCATCTCTGGTCATTTCTAGTTGCAGGACCATCTCCACTCCCTGCTACCTCCTATTCTCTCCCCTGACTGCAATCAACCCCAGGTGACTCCCAAGTCAGGCACAGACCAGATCTCTCTTGGATCATCAGATCTACTTATCTAACTCTACTTGAATGTCTCTCTGACCCTGAAACTCATCACATCCTCGACTGGACTTATTATTTTTCTTCCAGAATCTGCTACTCCTCCAACAGTTTGAGCTCACTAATGAGCATGGCCAGTCACAGTTCCTCAAGCCAGAAATCCAGGCACTGACACCTTCACTCGTTATCTCAGCACTCATCAAGATCGATGCCGTCTAAATGTCTCTTAAGTCCACTTGCTTCTCTCCATTTCCACTGCAGTGGCTCCATTCTGAACCACCCTCATCCTGCTCCCATACAGCTTGCAAGAGCCTCCAACGGGCCCACTCTTGCCTCACCCAATCAACTGCCTATACAGGATCCTGAAGTGACCTTCTAAAATCTCAAACATTGTCATTTCTCTTCTCTGCTTAAGCTCTTCAATGGCTCTTCATGACTACACTGGTCCCCACCTCCACCTGAACCTCACTTCACTCCCTCTCCCCAACCCTCCACCACTGTAGCCACACTGGCCTCCTGTTGGTCCAAGGGGAGGCCTCCTGCCCCACCCTCTGCTTCGAATGCTCTCCTTGCCCTCTACTTTCTTTACCTTCATCTGGTTCACACCTACTCATCCTTCAGATCCCAATCTAAAGGACTTCCCAAAGAAAGTCCAGAATACAGTAGGACCCCTATCATATGTTCTCACAGTATATGTGCATTTCCTTAGTAATACCTAATTTTAATTATTGGTGACATTACATATTTTATATCTACCAGTCCCACCAGACCATAAGGTATTGGGAGTAGAGACCATATCTGTCCTACTCAAAGCTGTATTTCCCAGTGCCTAGCACAAAGTTGGTGTACAAATATCTGCTGAATGAATAAACGCAACAAGTTTACTGCTATTCCTCACCTCCCCCTTTCCAGCTGTGAACACTCGGGATTTTAGAGGTAAAAAGTTGCTACAGCCTGTGAATCTAATTATAAAAATGTCATTACACCTGTTTATTCCCACTGCCTCCCACATATCTGGCACTACCTTCTATTTCATAGTCATATCCTGGAAGGAAAGTACCCGAAGTATGTTGTTTGCAGCTCACCTCAACCTACTTGACACAGCTCATTCCCAGCTCACCTGCCAAAATGAAGAGAAACAGATAACCTCCTAGAGGAAGGTGGACAAGTGTCAAGGGCTGCCTTTGCCTACTGTGTTCAAAGACCTTCACTCACAAATTCATTTAAGAAAGATGGGGTGCCAGCTCTGGTCTTCTGCAGCTCCCTCGGGCTGGTAGTGTCATTTCCAGCAATGGGTGAAGAGTAAGCCAAAATCCATGGCTTTCTATATTTGACTTTGCCCTTGACTGTGCCAACAGGGCAAGAGTTAAAGCCACAAGACTACACAATTTACAAAGGGTGGGTCAGAGTACTGATGAGACAGATTTTAAAAAGCCAGGGCTTTTTAACGAAAAGACATCCTTTCATCCAAAGAAAGAAAAACTAATTTTTTAAAAGAGAGCCTATTTTTCTTTCTTGAAGCTTCAGATAAAAGAGATTTGCTTTGTGGACAAGTATTTTGCCCAGAGAACGTAAAAACATCAGTGATCTATTAAAACAACTCCATCTGAGTATTTTGCCAAATTGGCTCAGTTTCAAGATAAAGTGAAACTTTGGGGCAGAACTTTTTAAACCAAACCCAGCCCTTGCACAATGGGAGGAAGTGAAAAACTGGTATCTTTTGTCACAAACACTGCTGCTGCTACGCCCTTCAATGCAGAAATTAGTAACTCAGGCTCTCTACACAGCCAGCGGGGCCTTGGTGAGAACCAGCGAACTGTAAGTGACCCCTCAGTCTCTATCGCTCTGACCACTCCCCTCACTCTGCCAGAAACAGGCCGGGGTCTGCCATCAGCTACTTCCTAGCATGGGGCAGGGGACTCCCCACCTCTCTATTTCTAAAACTCATCACCTCCCCTCCCAAGGTCAAGTCCTTCACCCATAGCCCCTGCTCCCTCTGAACAAACGCATGGCAGCTCAGCTCCAAAACCAGGAGGCTCCTTCTGCCTGAGTGTGCTGTGGCAGGACAACAAAGGACTGGCAGGCCTGCAGAAGGACTAGTCAAGACTGGGGCTAGTTCTCTCTTTTCACAACTGCCACGTACAGCTCCCAGAGTCCTGGTTCAAATGCCCATCTGTGCAGCCCCTGAGGAGTGGGATGGGGAGGAATTCGGGCCCCCTGCAGAGCCAGGCAGAAAGCAGTGCCTGAAACTAGAGTGATCTTAGAGAGGAATGGTGATACAGGCAGGATTACACAGAAGATGTCTTTGTGTTTCTCTATCTCTGGCTAAAGTGAATTTCAATTAGATTTGCACTCTTTGCTTCCCCAAAACATATCATTCCCTTTTAAATGCATTTATCTTATCATATTCTTTTTTGTAGCATTTGTCATAATTGCCATTAAATATCTGAGTAATTATTTCATTTGTTCATTCATTAAATAATTATTGAGTGCCTACCTTGTGCTAGACACTAAGAATAAAAAGACATAAGGCCCTCCCTTCAAGTAGCATATGTTCTACCAGGAAGAGACAGACTATATACAAATAACTAAGTAAAACATATGGTATGCCAGATGGTGATAAGTGCTATAGAGAAAAATATAATTGGGAAAGGGAACAGTGATTGCTGTGAGGGGACTAGGGATTAGGGTAGTGGGTAGGTGGCATTTTTAAATAGTTTGGTGAGACCTCATCATGAAGTGACGCTGGAACTAGTCTAAAAGAAGTAAAGGAATGAGCATATCGAACAAAAGTGGACCAGGCAGAGGGAACAGCAAATGCGAAGGCTCTGAGGCAAGAATATCTTTGCAGAAATTGAAGGATAAAGAGGAGCCCACTGTGGCTTGAGGAGCATAGGCATGGGTGAGGTCAGAAGGGTGACAAGGTGGGGGCAGGGGGCTTGAGATCTGTGTGGCCTTAGAGGCCTCTGTCCACACTTCAGCTCTTCCTTGGAATACAAGGGTAAGCCTCCGGAGCATGTGAGCACAACAGTGATGTGACTCATTTAAAATGATCTGACTGCCGTGTTGAGAGCTTACTGGAAAGGGTGAGAGGACAGGAGTGGAAGCAGGAGACCAGCCAGCAGGCAACTGCAATGATTCACGGAGAGACAATGATGGTTGAGACCACAGCGGTCAGAGGGAGTGGGGAGAAGTGGTCAGATTCTGGATATACTTTGATGATGGAATGCAGCTGCATTGGTGGGTAGAGTGAATTTTGAATATAAGAGATTATGGTTTTCGCTAAAGGTTAATAATTTGGTTTACACCCATGAAAATAATTACATAACAATTCAAGATGGCACGTGATTAAGTGACTATTAGAATGATCTAGGCGATATGTTATTTAGTAAAGCAAGAAAATATGTATGAAAGAAGTACAACTTGAGAGCAGATAACTAGTTCTAGGATTTCCAAGTGTGACTGTTCTGAAGATGATCAAACTAAGGGCTCGTTTGTTCTCAGTAGAGAAAATAACGTTCTGCAGTGAGTTGTGCTTTCCTGCCCAACTTCTGTTTTCTTCAATAATTTTAAATGAACATTTAAAATATAATAATATAATCTACAGCCATGCCACCCTGAATGTGCCCGATCTCATCTGATCTCAGAAGCTAAGCAGGGTCGGGCTTAGTACTTGGATGGGAGACCACCTAGGAAGACCAGGTGCCGATATACATATATAATATAAAGCCAGTGATCATATTTATATTTTAAAAGCAACTTTGGGAAAGAGAGTGGGGATGTTCCTCTGCCTTAGTTCCTCTAAAGCAGGGCTCTCTCACAGAACCTTACAGAAATGTTCCGTATCTGGTCTCTCCAATACAGTAGCCACTAGCTGTATGTGGCTACTGAGCACTTAAAATGTGACTAATATGATGGAGTAACTGAAAATTTTGATTTTATTTAATTCTAATTATTTTTCATTAAAATAGCTACTTGTGGCTAGTGGCTACCATCTGGAATCATAGAGATCTAGAGAAAATAAAATCACAACCCAGTGAAGCATTCATGAACCATATGTTAGACTTTTTCTCTTAAAATTGAATTAAAATGATACACACAAAATAGATTTGTAAAATCTTACAGTAAACATTCTTATTTTTTATTATGCCATACAGTTGCCATCTAATTATCCTATTTCTACATATATTCTTTGAAAAGAAACAGTAGCTAGCTTGGTCTTAACAGTTTTTAAACATATTTCCTTATTTTTTGCATACAACTCTAATATCTTCTAGGCCATCATTCTAACAATGTCATTCAAAATGAGATTTCCCTCCCTGATGTTTATTCAATGCTAACATTTTAAATATCATATAAAAATATAGAAGATTATTATTATAATAGAAATACCCTCCTGCTCTAAGCAATTTATTCCTCCCAAGATCACAGGAAATGAAAAGGCTGGTGTTAGTATCGCCATTTTTCAGATGAGAAAATCAAGGCAGAAAGAGATTACAGTTCATTTCATAGCATAAAGCTACAGTGTAGTCAGAAAAGAAGAACAGGAATTAGGAAGACATAAAAAAGAGAATTAAAAAAAAATCTATATGCAAATCCTTAGTTGCCAAATTCAAGTGAGCTGAGACCTGGTCTCAGAAATGCTGATGAAATGAGCAGAGTTGGTGGCAGTGTCTGTCCTTTGGGCCCTGTGTCTCAGACCTTCCACGTGTCCTAGCAATGTCCCTATGGTCTGGCAGATTCTGGCTCCACAATGACTGGTGAAGAGGATGCAGTGGTCAGGTGGCCTCAGTACAATGGCGTTCGCTTATTCATCAGCAAACCATACTCAAATGACAGGCAACATTCATGAATTCTCCTCACTCAACAGCCAGAGAATGAGCTTTCATTAATGTTGCTTTGAAATACTCAGGCTAACCCAAGTTATATCACTAACTTGTATGACCCAAGAGATTAGTAGGGTAATTCAATCGGTTTAGAGCTAACCTCTGAAATTGTCAATTTAATTCCTTCAATTTTGAGAATGAGGAAACTGAGTCCCAGGAACACAGTGATAGATGCAAAAGAACACAGTTTTATTCATTTTATAAGCAAGCAGGCCTGCATTCCTACACTGCAAAGTCACTGGTGTGTTTCAATGTGTTTCTACAAACTACAGGATTAGAAGATCATCAGTGTTGTCTATACATATATAACAACATACTATAAAACAAACAACATATATATAACATGCAACACATTACATAATATACAATACAGATATATAACATACAATACATATTACATAATATACAACACATATATTACATTACAGCATATATGTAATATAATAATATTATTTCCCCTAGAGGAAGAATATTAAAATTGGTGACTGCATCCCTAAACAACATCATTAGATCAAAGCTGAGACACAATAATGTTATAAAAGCAAAGATGAAACAAATATAAACCATTAAAATAATTTAAAATTGTTCAAGTATGTGCTAGTTCCTGTGAAATAAGCATAAATACTATACTAAATACACTATTTATGCGGCCCAAGTACTATTCAATATGTAGGCAAAGAACAACATTAGAACTATATCATGAATCTTGGAAAATATGCTCTTTGGAATTTAGAAGGGCTTCTTAAGGGTAACTCGGTGAGCCTGCTCTTTTAACCAGTCTGGGCAAGTCTGAACTGATGTTTCCTTTTACTGAGCAGAGACATTCCAGCTCATCCCCCATCTTAGCAATAACTCAAAATGCTAAACATGGGCAAGGGCTTTGTACATGTTTCCTGATGACAATGAAGATGCTGATTTTTTTTTTTTTTTAAATGCTAAAAATGCCAGGCTGTTTCTGCCCTGCTAAAGGTTACCTGCCCAAAGCCAGCTGCCAGCCATGCTACATCACAGCTGGCTTGTCACTTTGATAGTCAGTGTTACAGAAGTGCACATTCCCTTCAAACTAAATTTTTAAAAAATTCCCCCAAGTTATAAGTTTTAAAAGGAGCTTCAAGATATGAGACCAAGAAAGTCGCAGTCTTTTTTTTTTTTTTTTTAATGCCTACAGCACCCGGTATTTCTAGGCGGTCTCCCATCCAAGTACTAACCAGGCCCAACCCTGCTTAGCTTCCAAGATCAAACGAGATCAGGCACATTCAGGGTGTCATGGCCATAGACAAAAAATTCCCAGTCTTAATCCTGAAAAAATCTTTGGCCAATACCATTAATCACAGCCAGGGACAGGGACATAATCTGTGTAAAGCATCTTAGAATAACGGGGGACTTGAGATGTCCCTTTTTAATTCCCTAAGCAACCTTTATGGCAGGAAGACTGATTCTAATTCTTCCATAGACAAGTGGGAAGGAAAAGCATCCAGGAAGATGCACGTTAGTCTCATGTAGAGAACCTAACAATCAGAATGGGCAGGGAGAACCAGGCACTAGCTGGGCTGCACCTTACAGGCCGTATTTCTTTTCCTGGAAATGCTGATTGTGCTAAATTATGATGTGAGCCACCTGGGCAAGCTCATGGTTCCTGTTGAGGTTTTATTTTGCACTTTTTGTGGTGTGTTAGTAAATTTAGGTGAAAGAATTGAAAGAGATAAAAGAGGTAAATACAGAAGGGAAAATATTTTTTTAAGTGATAAGATGCCTTGGGAAATGTTATTAGACACATTTTACCATAAACAGTCTAAGAGATGCCATTAATCAGAATATAGTCTATGATTAAAGTAAACAATCTTTGATGTATTTCCCCCAAATTATTTTCCTCTGGTAAGGCAAAACAAAATAAATCTGTAAGACACTTCCAAACAGGTAGTGCTCTTTTGC